AGCTATAGTTAGAATTAGAAGTGTGGAATAAGGCAGGACCACTACCCAGACCAGTGGGAGACTGTTACTGCTGAGAAAATTCCAGTCATGGGTCCCCCTGACCACAAGCTACCCAAGAACTAATGTTTTGTCCTCCACCAGTCAGATTTTGCTGCAGTAACAAGAAGGGGAAAGCAGGATAATCTGATCACTACACTAAAGGAACATTTCTGCAAAGTCATATGTTGTGCAACATTTCCATAAGCAATGGAGTTGTCTGTTCCTTCCTCTTCACTCCAGGAAAGCTATGATGGGCTAATGTGAAAATGACAAAAATTGTATCCAACAAAGACTTTATTTAAATGTTTTTGGAAGGCTGGGCTTAAATTTATAAAACCAACAAATGACATTTATTTCATTGTAACCATTTTTGGTATTAAAGGGTTCAGTAAGCATTCCATCATTACATATATTCTGCATGTGGTGATGGAAGGTATGCAAATAATGATACCACCTTTATCCTACCAAATCAAATGTACATAATTGATGCAGTTTTCACACTAGTTCATAGGGTGTATGGATTGAATTGTGTGCATCCCTTAAAGATAGTGTGCATTGTTCAGGTCTGTGTTCCCACTGGTGTTGATAAAGATTTTCCCCGACTCTGTCTCACTCATTCCCAACACAAACTCTTTTTGGTGTATTTTATTTGAATTCTGCTTTTGTTTGAAGTTTTTGGTTGATACACATTGAAACCTGCAACAAACAACTTAACACTTTGTGAGACTGTATCAGGAAATGTAAGCCATTCTGATGTGATTTGTTCTTGACTCCTTATTGTGAGATGTCAGCACATTGTCACATTTTAAAAATCTGTTCTTCTTTTAACTTGATTCTTGACGTTTCATCAAGTGGAACACAGGTTTCCATTTGCCCACTAAGTGTACACACTCTGGGTGAACTATTGGAAAACTGCCCTGCTGGAATTTACCCTTAATGTGACTGTGTGTCTTGCCCCAACATTGGGTGAGATATTTTTAAATATTTTTAAAAATCCAATTTGAGGATGCAGTGTCAAACAATGTATGGAGTAACGTTAAGGTGTTTGTAATAATGATAAACCAGTATTGGATTTATGTTTTATTGAACAGTATTAAACTGAGCAACCCCAAAAAAAATGTTAATGGGGGTCTGTGGCAAGGTATATTCAAGTTATCTGTTGGCTTAAGTAGATGGATCTAGTTTGAGATTGTGACCAAGTTTTGTACACCCCCTCTGATGAGAAGACTCATTGGGGCTTGGAATGACATTGTTCTAGATTCCTACTTTATAGCAAGGCCTTGATTGTGGCAGCCCGGGTGCTCAATTCACATAGAGAACTTGTTCAGCATGGATCAGTGAGCAACTGCATATCCAGGCAACACAATAGTGCAGTTGATATTCATCTTGGCAAGGATTCAAGCATTTGATCTGATCAGTGCCTCTCCACAGTATGTAAACAAAACATTCTTAACCAAATTGGTCATCGGGACAAAAATCTAAGGAGGAGTGAGGTAATTATTGACTCCTTTAATCGAATTGCATTTTTTTTGACGAAATGATCAGATGAAATATACTTCTATAAAAATTGACAAAATGCCTAAATTCATTCACTTTAAGCTGCCTTTGGTTTCACTCAGCTTGTCACACCTTAAGTATTTTATTCCAAACCATCCCTAAAATTTCCAGTCCCAGCCTTCAATCAAACATCTTCTGTGCACGCATACTTTGATTTGATAGTCTGTTCTTTCTAGTGGGTCC